CGCGCGCGGTGGCGTCACCCGCCGGCCTCCGGGAGTCCGCTCTCCGCAGTCCGAGTTTGGGGCGGTTGGATGGGGAGAATGGCTTCGGAGATGGAGTCATCTCTGGAGGTCAGCTTGTCCAACAGCTGCGTGGTGTCGGGGGCTTCAGGGTGTCTGCCTCCGGCCCGCTCCCGCATCTTCAAGATCATCGTGATCGGCGACTCCAACGTGGGCAAGACGTGCCTGACTTACCGCTTCTGCGCCGGCCGCTTCCCGGACCGCACCGAGGCCACCATCGGGGTGGATTTCCGAGAACGCGCGGTGGACATCGACGGGGAGCGCATCAAGGTGAGCGAGGGGCGCCGTCGGGGGCGCGCGCGCCGGCTCTGCCACGCCCGGGCGGAGGTGGGAAGGGCTTTGGCAAGGGCTTTGGCGGTAGCGACTTCTGCGGCAGTGTCCCAATTTTAACGTGCAGATTTGCCTTGGGGCCCCTGGTTTTCAGCAGTTCGGATTCAGACTCGGAAGAGTCCCAGATGGTGGAGACCACACCTGAGTGTCGGGACCGCAGGGCGTGTTCACTACCTCCTGGGCTGTCTCGGGGAAGCACAACGCTTATTTCCCAGAGAGAGAAAATCCATTTAGTATATGTCCTTTAGTAAAGACTCACTTGAGCTCAGTGCTAGTATTGTGGACGCCTGTTGCCTTTGAAGAAATACTCAGGTTCTTGAGTACACTTTTGCCTGCGGTAGTTTCTGTATGACATTGATTTATTTTCCCACAGAAACATTCTGTACGCGTGCAATAGTTCCTACTTGGACTTTTTTGGTGGTACCAGGGATCGAACTCGGGTCCTTGCGCTTGCAAGGCAGGCCACCGAACCACTGAGCTAAGTCCCCAGCCCCTAAAGCCTTGTCTCTTGATGCTATTTCAGGCCCCGCTGAAATCCAGTTCTTCCTTCCCTTTAAGTCATTGTAGGTGCCCCCTTCGCCCGTTTCCTAACAGTAGAGAAGATAGAAGGCCCGAGGGCTCCAGGCTTGGGCTCTTGGGGGTGAATGGGATCACTGAGAAAGGATCAGTAACCTTAGACATCATTGCAGTCCGCCTTACCAAACACCACTAATAGCCTCCCCTGAGAACACGGAGCCTAGAACAACCCTGCAATCCTTGCCGGATTACTTTTTGCTTCAGTGTTCATCTTTGTATCAGTCAATTTAAAGGTGGGGCTGGGTGGGAACAGGCTTTGATCATCCTAATTTTATATTCTGAGGCAAGAACAATTTCTTTTTTCAGTTCTCTGATCCCAGCCCCATGCCATTCTCAAAGGGCTTTCACTGCTAGTAATGTTATGTTAAAAGAGAAGTAGGCTGAGTTAAAAGGAATCAAGCCTTCTCTAGGCTCTTTTGCCTTTTAATTTTACAGCTGCCAGCATTGGTCCTTTGGGTTTTGTAGAATACGGAGAGCTGAACATTTCTCACCAAAATTAAATTAGGCCCAGAAGCACGTGGGGTAGAATGATGAGGCTTCTGAAGTATGAGGGTTTAGCTTCGGAAAGGGAGGAATTCTGGGAGGTTTGTGGGCTTTGAAGTTCAAATATAGACTTAATTTGAGGGAGGGGTTGAGATAGGGTCTCACTATGTAGCCCAGGCTGGTCTGTAACTCATTAGTCCTGCCTCAGCCTCCAGGGTGCTGGAGTTACAGGCTGGGATTATAGGCTTGTGCCTGCCATTCCCACCAGATATAAACTTTTGAAAGGCTGAGTGAGGTGCCATGGTTTGAGCCTGTAAACCAAATTTGGAATTTTAATCTGCAAATCCAAATGCTAATGAGGTGGGATTTTTGGGATGTGCTTAGGGTTAATCCATTTGTGATAGTGATGGGTTAATCCATTAACCGGTTAATGAGTTAATCCCTTCATAGATCAATGGGCTGTCACTGCATGGCTTTGTTTCAAAAGCCAGTTTGGTTTGTGTCACCTGGGATGCCCTCCACGTTACTGTAGCCAATGGGCCCCGTCAGATGCTCTTATACTTCCCAGCCTTCCAGCTGTGAGCCAAGTAAGCTTCTATTCTTTATAAATTGCTCAATCTCAGATCCTTTCTAGCAACAGAAAATGGACCAAGACAGATGGACTGTTTCTTCAGTGCAGTGATCACCATTGCCCAAGACTGTCTAGGTTTAAAAACTGGAAAATCCCTAGAAGCCCCTCAATCTGGGGCACACCAGTTTAGTTCACCACCCTGGTCCTTAGGCAGCTTCTTTAACCTGAATCTGTTTTCTGAAAATTTGGACCATGATACCGGGTGAGGCCGGTGTGTCAGATCAGTTGTGTGAGGTACATGGGTTCGCAGTTGGTACCCTGAAAGGACTTGTTGCCTTTCCAGGTGGCTTTGACATTTCCTGTCCTTTATCACTGATAGTTTTAGAGTGCTACCCCCAAAGAAGGAAGAGGTGGGGAAGGCATGAGTAGACAGCTGAAGGGGAGAGAAATTTTTTCAAAAAAAAAAAAAAAGAAAGAGAGGAGATAAATACCAACTTTGTTGGATTTTCCTTTGAGACAGGGTCTCACTATGTAGTTCAGGCTGGCCTTAAACTCACTATGTATTCCTGGCTGGCTTCCAACTGGTGGCAATCCTGCTTCAGCTTCTGGAGTCCTGGGATTATAGAGTATGCCACCAGGCCTGGCTCTGTGGATTTTTTTTTTTTTTTTCGGTACGGGGATGGAACTCTGGGCCTTGAATTTTAAAAAGGCCTGGCTCTGTGGATTTTTTTTTTTTTTTTCGGTACGGGGATGGAACTCTGGTCCTTGAATTTTTGAGGCAAGGTGGTGGAGCCAATGAGCTAAATCCCTGGCCCTATGTTGGAAATTTAAAAGAAAAAATACAAAACCTTTTTTAAGTGTTCAGGGTTATTTTTGGTAAGAATTTAATTTATTTATATTTATTGTGATCACCCACATGCTTGGTTTTATCCTGACCATTTTATTTTGATTTGATGAATACATTGATCCATTGTTTTGTTTATTTTGTTTTTTGTTTTTGTTTTTGTTTTTTTGAGATAGGGTCTTGCTCTATAATTCAGGCTGGCCTTGAACTATGTTGCCCAGACTGTGCTCAAACTTGCAGCAGTCCTCCTGCCTCAGCCTCCTGAGTGCTAGGATTACTAGCTTGTTCTACCATGCCCTGTTTAGTCTTTTTAAACTGAGAACTGATATGGAAGAGCTTTATTCTGCATGCTACACCCCCTTACCTAACCTGTTATGCGTCCATTTTAAGTGCAGCTGACATGTTCTTGTCATGTTCACATTATCTTGTTTGAAAGACTGAGTCAAATTTGAAATGATGTTTCTTAGTTTTTTTGTATTAAATCTGAAAATTCTACTACTTTATTAATAATAATAAAATCACATTCTGGACATTGTTCATTAAAAATGAGATTGTGTTAAAATTTTTAATTTGTAGACTAGAGAAATTTCAGAGATCGTGACTTATCCTTTCATAATTCATTAAAATGTTTCATGTACTGTAAAAAACTTCTGTTTGCTAATCTGCTTCTACGTACCATATATATATTATTTATATATTTAAATATATATATAAATAATATATATATTTGAAATAAAAATATCTTGTTTGCAGGATTTTTGAAATTGAGTAGAGTTATAAAATTAATTTTTTTTACAATAAACTTTACTTGATTTTATCCTGTCCCCGGCCTCAAGCTGCCTCACCTCTCTATGTACAAAAGCTTTGTTTCTATTTTTTCCTTCTAGTTTCACTTTTTGTAAAATAATTCTTTAAGGCTGGGGATTTAGCTCAGTGGTGCCATGCCCTTCTCTGAAGCACAAAGTCCTGAAGGAGTTTGATTACAGATACAAAAAAAAAAAAAAAAAAAAAAAAAGAAATGCATCTAGGGCTGGGGATTTAGCTCAGCGGTTCGGTGGCCCACCTTGCAAGCACAAGGACCCGAGTTCAATCCCCGGTACCAAGAAAAAAAAAAAAAAAAAGCATCTAATTTTTAAGTTGAGTCTCTAATCCGTGCTCTCCTTCCTGGCAGAAGTGTGCCTTTATGACTGGCTGTGTTCCTTTCATACACGGTTTTACTACATATTCCAGGCTGGTTTTGAATTCACTATGTAGCCCAGGCTGGCCTTGAACTAGGGGACCCTCCTGCCTCAGCCTCCTGAATGCTGGGATTCTTGGCATGTGCCACCACACCAGGCCCAGTAAAAGATAATCAGGACCCTTGATAAAGCAATTATTTAATGAATAATTGCTGGTGAAACAATTCTTTTGGTTAAGCACAAAGAATTACAGTACAGTGCCAGTGTTGGCTAACTGCTTGGGGCCCAGTGAAGGATGATTCTTACATTGTATTATTTCTCTTCATTGCTGAGATCCTGCACAAACTGGGCAAGTGCTTGAGCACTGGGCTGTATCCCCAGCCGGAATTTTACCTGTGGAATGGTTGCCTGGTTGCCAGCCTGAGATTTCATGAGGAAACTAGGAGGAATCCATGTGGGTTATCCTGATGTTGCTGTCTTGACCGCAGCCTCACCCTTACGGCTTTGCTCCCTAAATCCAGTGGTTTTCTACCTGCCCAACTTCTCTCGCTAATCCCATCTTCAAAATCCAGATTCAGGTGTTGCTTTGTACCCTTTTTTTTTTTTTTTTTTTTTTTTTTTTTTTTTTTTTTTTGTGCCGGGGATCAAACTCTCTTGTGCTTGCAAGGAGGGCGGCAGAACCACTAAGCTAAATCCCTGGCCCTCCACCCTGTCTTTGAGCTGAAGATATAACCAGCAAGACAAAATAGAATTTAAGGCTGGGTGTGATGTCACACACCTCTAATCCCGCCACTTGGAAGGCTGAGGCAGGAGGATCCTGTGAGTTTGAGGCTAGCCTAGGCTATGTGGTGAGACCCTATCTCAAAAAAAAAGGAAGTTGAAAATTAGAACTTTTTTTTCCTTAGGAGATAGTGGCTTCTTCAGACTTGCTCCATGCTAGAGCGTAAACTGCTATCTCTTTCTCTCTACAGCCAGATGAACAGACAGACATGCAGGGACTGGCTCCCTGTGGTCGGCATCCATTTCTGCTTCTGCAGAGGAGGCCGGGAGAGGGAAGTAGCTGGGAGGAGGGATGAAGCAGACCTGGCATTGCCTACTATCTCCTTGGGGTTCTCTTTTCTTTTTGTTTTTTTGTTTTTTGCTTTGTACCCGGCTGGCCTTGAATTCACTATATAGCCCAGACAGTGATCCTCCTGCCTCAGCCTCCCCCGTGCTGGGTTTACACGAATGCCCCACCATGCCTGGCCCCCTTTTTATGCTGTATGATGGTCTCACTAAGTTCCCCAGGCTGGGCCTGAACTGAGTAGTCTCCCGAATGGCTGGGATTACAGGTGTGCACCACTGTGCCTGGTGAGACTTTCTCTCTAACACATGTTGGTGCTTGGGAGATCCTCAGCGTGTGAGCAAGGTGAGTTTTACAGCCCTAACCCTTCCCACTCTGCAGGATCCCTGGACTCAGGTCAGTGCCTCCCAGCCTGATTTCAGAAGCATACTGTTCTCGTACCACACCTCACTGACCTGGCCTTACAGGCATTGATTCCAGGTGGTGAAGAGAGCTAGAGAGAGTGACTTACTTCCGTGGACCTTTAGTCAGTGCTCAGACTTCTTGGTTTGACTCCATGCATGATAGTTTAGGTAGATGAAGCCAGGTGTGGCGGTATATGCCTATAATTCCAGCACTTGGGAGGCTGAGGCAGGAGGATCACAGCAAGTCTGAGGCCGCCTGGTCTACACAGGAAGTTCAAGGCCAGCCTACATAGTGAGTACCTGTCTCAAAAACAAAATAAGAAAAGAGATTAGTGTAGGCACAATGGGAATTCATTGTTTCACCAGAGAAGCCCAGAAGTAAGTTTCAGCATTGGCAGGTTCCAGCATGATCCTGCTTTGCCTTTTCTCAAGCAGGGTAGTGGTGGGACCGATGCCGCCTCCCTTATGTTCCTGCTGGGAACCAGGGCTTCCCATAAACTGAAAGCAGGGAGGGCGCAGAGGCTGGGAGAGCAGTATGTGTTCAGGAGGAGTCGGCCGCCTGAGCTTAGATCCTGGCCTGATGACTTCAGAGTTTTGTGACCGTAAGTGAATTCTTTAACCTCTCAAGACCTTGATTTCCTCATTTTTCCTGCAGTGTTTGGTGATTACTATGTGGGGTTACATATATTAAGATAAGGCAGGCGAAGGAGTAAGCATGTGCCGAGCCCCAAATACATAGTACTTCCAGAGTGCTTGTCCTCAGGAGAGGTTTAAAGGAAATATTCTCCTTCTCAGCAGGATGTGGTGGTGCATGTGTATAATCTCAGCCCTCTGGGAGGCCGAGGCGGGAGGACAGCCAGTTCAAGTCCAGTGTTCTGGCTTGTGTCTGGATGTCCCCTCAGAGCCGCTTGCAGTCATAGGTGGGGCTTTTTCAGAGGTGGCTGGATCTAGAGTGTGTGACGCTAGGACTGATTCATGGTACAGTGCTAGGCTGAAGGGCACTGAGGGTGTGAGTGCTGCCCACCCTAAGTAACCTGAATAAGATGAAAGGGATAGAAAGAGCCGTGGCCCTCTTTTGTTTGCTTTTGCTGTTTTACTTTCTCCTCTGCATTGCCACCGTGCCATTGCCACCCCGCCTTGGAACCAGCCAACTATGGACTGAAGCCTCTATGAACTGTGAGCCAAATCAAGCTTTCCTCAGGTATTTTGTATCGGCAATGAGAAAAGTAACTGAGGCACACAGCCTGATCAATTTAGGGACTTAGTGAGACCCTGTCTCAAAATAAAAAATGAGAAGGGCTGGGATGCAGCTCCATGAGGCCCTGGGTTCAATCCCTAGTCCTGCGTAAAAAATCCTTTCAAACAGTCAGTGACCTGAGCTGGAAGTGTAGCTCAGTATAGAGCTACACCGTCTAGCATGTCTACGCTTGTCTAGAATGCAAAAGACCATCATTTCGGTCCCCAGCGCCTCAAAAACAAATAGTCAACGAACTTGGTAACTTCTCCTTGTTGGGAAGCTGACATTTACTCCTTTGCAGTGCTGGGGTTGAATCAGTGAAGGCTCAGGCAGCATCCAGATGGTTTCCTTTGCTTCCGTTTGAAAGTTTGCCGCTTGGTTCTGTGCCCTGAATGCACACATTTCTGCTCTATAAAGCAAAAGCAGAGCTGTCTTGAAATGTTACTAACATTAGTTACAGTGTTCGCTTACAGCTTACTGAGTTGTTCATAGAAGCCCTTAATTTTGTCACCAGATGGTCTTGTGTGTATTTCGTTTAGAAGCAAAAGAATTTGAAAAAACAGGGAAAAGGAAGTGTGACAGCTGGTCAAAGAAGAAAAGACCATTTGGGTTACAACTTTTAACATTTTAGGTTGAGCAGGAAAAGTTTTAAATCTACTTAAGGTCAGATCATTTTTTCATTTTGAGTAATCAGACTATTAAAAGTTTTGTTTGTTTTGCTTTGGTTTTTTGAGACAGGGTCTCACTATGTAGTTCAGACTGCTCTGGAACTCACTGTAGCCCAGGCTGGTTTTGAACTCACAGCAATCCTCCTGCCTCAGCCTCCCAAGTGCTGGGGTTACAAATGTGCACCACCACACCCGGCTTACTAAAAGCTTTTGTGGATAGTAAGATTCTATTCTTGGGACTGAGCATATAGCCAGCTTGCTGCTTTTATTGGAACTGAAGTAGAGATTCATGAAATCTTGTTACAAAGGAAGTGCATTTTGTGTTGTGTCTATAATGTGTAAAATAGGAGTAACGCCTGGCCAGAAATATCTTTGTAAATGCTAAAGATAGTCTTAAGATTTTTTTTCCCCATCATTTAAGAAAATTAGGATGTAGTTCACATACCATAACATTCACCCCTTTGAAACAGTTTGGCCTGGTGTGGTGGCTCACACTTGTAATCCCAGCACTTGGGAGGCTGAGTGAGGCAAGAGGATTGCTGTGAGTTGGAGGCCAGGCTGGGCCACATAGTGAGTCCAAGGCCAGCCTGAACTACACAGTTATGCCCAGTCTCAAAAAAAACCAAAATTATACAATTCGGTCATGGTGGTGCACATTTGTAATCCTGGCTACTCAGGAGGCTGAGGCAGTAGGATCACAAGTTTGGCACCATGGACAACTTAGCAAGACCCTCTGTCAAAATAAAATTTAAAATGAGAAGAGGGTTTGGGGCTATAGCTCATCAGTGCTTTTAGTATATTTATAAGGCTGTGCAACCATTGTCTCTGTCTAGTCCAAGAACATTTCCATCACTCCAGAAGGAAGCTCCATACTGTGTTGTATGGCGGCTCAGCACCAGCACTGCAGGCAGGTCTGGCCTCGAGCTTCTGAGGCTGAGGCAGGAGGATTGCAAGTTCCAGTTCAGCCTGGGCAACATAGCAACCAGTGAGACTGTTAGAGGGTAGCCTCAACTAAAAACTGTTAGGTTCAAGGTTGCTTGCCTCCTTCTCTTGAGTTACATTCCAGGTTCTACTTGTCTTGAACAAACAACTGAACCAATGAGCATGCTTCTTATGGGAAAATAAGCAAGGACTCTCACTTGGCACTGTCAGGTGGCTGGAGAGCCCAAGAAATTGTGTAGTGTCTCATGTCTGCCTCTTGCACAATTAGGTCGTACTTGTGGGGGGAGGGGCTAAGACAGTGCAGACATCTGAACTAAAAACAGCTGCTAAAAGATGAGAAATCCAAACTGATAAAAATGGTGTTAAAATGGAAGAGAGTGACAATATCTCCATCATTTATTGCATTTAAAAATATTGTTTTCTTTTTGTTTTGGAGACGGAGTCTTGCTGTGTAGTTTAGTCTGGCTTTGAACTCACTATATACCCCAGGCTGGCCTCGAACTTGTAATGATTCATTTGCTTCAGACTCCTGAGTGCTGGGATTCCAGGCGTGTACCACCACACCTGATTTAAAAACAATCATTTAGATAACCATTTCGTACACTTCACACATTTACATACCTACCAGTGGGCATGTTTTGAGACTCCTGTCTTACATCCCAGGAGGAGGATTCCCTCAGTCCCTTCTGCTTGCAGCAGGGTTCTGACAGTCACTGGTTCCAATTTACAGCCCGCACAGAGTCCCTAGATCCAGTCTGGGTCTTTCAGCACACCCACCGTGTTTATTTGCACGGTGACCTGCGACTCTCTAGGGAGTCACAGGTAGGGGAAGCATGTGTGTTTGTCACGTGCTGGACCCAGAATGATGCCCCTCTCTGCTGGGTCTGAATGTTTACATTACACTAGGGTTATGATAACCAAATGCCTAAGCATTATAATACTCCACGTTTGTTAAACCCTGACATGTTTTCTCTTAATACTGTAAAAAAATCACTGTTTGAGGCGTGTCTTTGTTCCCGGAAGTTGGGCGGTGCCCCCGGAAGCATGTGCATCTGGTTCTGCACCTGCGCAGAGCGAGGACCCTGGCCTCAGGCTGGGCTCGAGGTGGACGTGCATGGGGGTGGGGCAGTCCGAGGAGCCCCAGAGGCCGCCATGCATGCGAGCCACTGCACTGACGTGACCTGTTTCTCCCACGCAGATCCAGCTGTGGGACACGGCCGGCCAGGAGCGCTTCCGGAAGAGCATGGTACAGCACTACTACCGCAACGTGCACGCCGTGGTCTTCGTGTACGATGTGACCAACATGGCGAGCTTCCACAGCCTGCCGGCCTGGATCGAGGAGTGCAAGCAGCACTTGCTGGCCGGCGACATCCCGCGCATCCTCGTGGGGAATAAGTGTGACTTGCGGAGCGCCGTCCAGGTGCCCACGGACCTGGCCCAGAAGTTCGCCGACACGCACAGCATGCCTTTGTTTGAGACCTCTGCCAAGAACCCCCACGACAATGACCACGTGGAGGCTATCTTTATGACCTTGGCGCACAAGCTGAAGAGCCACAAGCCGCTCATGCTCAGCCAACCTCCTGAGGACAGCGTGGCCCTGAAGCCCGAGGCCAGGCCCGCCCTGCAGTGCTGGTGCTGAGCCACCGCCGCTGAAGGCTGTGAGCAGAGGCGACCTGGGACGTGGGATGCTGCCGATCGCAAGGGGTCCCACACTGTACTGCTCAGCGTCGGGACTGTCACTGTGACCTCCGGGAAAAGGAGAACAGGATGCGGGCACCTGCTCCTGCCGGTGGGTGGAGGGAGGCCAGAGACTAACAAGGTGCTGCGCTCCTGCTGGGCGTCTCCAGAGAGTGCATCGAGAGCCTCGGGACTGTAACGGGATTGGTCAGCGTGGGTGCTGGTCCCTTGCTCTCCGCCTTGCCCTCGATTCATTTAGCGACGAAGTGTTGGATGAAATCAGCTTCCATTTGGATGTAGCTCCCCGGGCCTCACTCTGATTCCTGTGAATCTGTATTTCTGTAATGGTGTGTTGTCAGTTTCTGTATGGTCACAGCAAAATAGGCCTCCTTGCAATGATAACGGTGGAGCCAGGCGTCTGGTGCACACATCCTAGCCCTGGGGAGGCTAAAGATTGCCCCGACTTGAAGGCCAGCCCGAACTACCTAGCCAGACCCTCTGAGAAAATCGGACAAAACAAGAAGTAATCTGTCTATCCCCCAGTGGTGAAAATATTTCAGCATTTTTGCCCTAGTTTTATTTTGAATTTGAGATTTTGCAAAACAAAGAAAATGATGCACTTGCCTATGAAGCCGCTTACATAAATGGAATGTAAGCCATGGTTTTTAGGTGATGTGTGCATTTGCTAATTGGATCTTGGTTGTCCCTTGAAAAAAAAATTTTTTTTTTTGGTACCAGGGATCGAACTTGGGTCTTTGTGCTTGCAAGGCAGGCGGCGGAACCCCTGAGCTAAATCCCCGGCCCTCCCTTGAAAGTTTTGGAGGAAGCCAAAAGAGAGTGTACTTAAAATATTTTCAGAATGTGGAAAACCAGTTAATATGTAATTGAATCTAGCTTAGGAGTTTTGTTAATCGTTGTGGTAGTCCTAAATAAATAATTTAGTTATAAAAAAGAAACATTAATAATTAATTGAAAGTAATAATTACAATAAATATTCAGTTTTAAGTATTAGGGATCAAATTCATTTTTAAAATTTTTCTTAATTGTGCTAGAATTAAAATTTTTAATCTGAACATTGATTTCTAACTTTTTATAGGAAAGCATTGACAGTTATAGTAAATGTGATGGGTATGATAGGTTTTTAAGGAAGGGACTCTTCAAAATGTTTAAAAAGGTTTTTATTTTGGGGTTTTTTTTCCCCCATTGAGTTTATTGGTACATTGTAGGTATACAGTACAGTTACATTCATCATTGGGATCCTGTACCTTTACATGACAGGTCTTGGTTCTCATTTTTCCCCTGTCCCTGCCCTCCCTTCACCCCCTTTTCCCCTTCCCCTTTACAAACACTTCATTTCCATTTCTTCATTTTCTCATATTTTTTTCTTTTCCCTTATTACCTTTCCCCTACCCTTCCCACTAAAAAGTTTTTTTTGGTGTTTTTTTTTTTTTTTTTTTTTAGGTACGGGAGATCGAACTCGGGTCCTTGTGCTTGCTAGGCAGGCAGCGGAACCGCTGAGCTAAATCCCCGGCCCTAAAAATGTTTTTAAAGGGAAGAAAGTTTATAGACTTTCCAAGCATATCTTTTTTTCAGTACTGTATGGTTTTTTTTAAAAAGTACTTTTTTTGTAAGTATCCATTATAGTTCTATGAAGGGACTTATATTTTCACTTTATTAGTAGTAGTATTTTGGGGGGGTACTGGGGATCAAAATATTTTCACTTTAATATTTATTAATTTTAAAATATTTGTCTCATTTGCAGCATCTTACCATTTTGATTTTTAGGACATTTTTATTTTTGAAAAGAAAATACTTTGTTGAATGGGGATAAAACTTTTAGATGTATTCCAAAATATTTATAAAACACTGTATGGACTATTGAAATCACTTCCAAAAATGGTGGCTATCCAACAACTATTAATTTTTTAAGCAGCAATCACATATTTTATAAATCTGTGAATTTTACTCTTAACCTTTAATTGAAATACCAGAATTATTTTAGAAAAATCTTAATTTAAGAAGACCAGAGGAAACTGCCCACGTCTAATGCAGTTAGCAGTACTAACCAGGCTTTATGGGATGTGTGTTGTTAATCTGCATTTCCTCCATGAAAGCCAGAGTTAGTTTTGCTGTGGGATAATGTCACATTTCATCCGTGGAGCTCAATAAATCATCTTTGCTAGGAAAGAATGGTGTTTTGTTTCCTTTCTTTACTTGGCTGAATATGAACTTTCAAAATGAACCAATAATGGGGCCGGGGATTTAGCTCAGTGGTTTTGCCGCCTTCCTTGTAAGCGCAAGGACCAGAGTTCGATCCCCGGTACCTTTTAAAAAAAATTGAACTGATAATGTATATATAGTACATATACATTGAAAATCCTGATGTAAAAATCTCACATCTTGAAACTTTTTGGATTTTATTTCAGATCAGAGATGCTCAACCAGTAAAGTTTATAAAGGTATTCTTACCCATCTCCAAAAAAACAAGAAAAATAAAAACCCTTTCAAAAATGTGAAACATTTCTGGTTTCTAGTCATTTTGGTTATCAGGTTTGAACTTGGATCCTTGTGCTTGCGAAGCAAGCTAAATCCTTGGCCTTTTTTTATTTTTATTTATTATTATTGTTATTTTTTGTACCAGGGATCAAACTTGGGTCCTTGCACTTACGAGGTAGACAGTGGAACTACTGAGCTAAATCTCTGGCCCTATTTATTTGGTACCAGGGATTGAACTTGGGACCTTGTGCTTGCAAGGCAGGCAGCAGAACCACTGAGCTAAATCCCTGGTCTCTCTATGTATTTTGTATAAGGTACCCTCAATACTTCAGTGCAATGTGGTGGCATACACTGGTAGTCCTAGCACTCTGGGGGTGGAGGCAGGAGGATCATAAAGCTCTGGGTTCAATCCTCAACTGTCAAAAAGGAAAAGGTTTTCATATAGATTAAGACATATTTTAAAATTTTTGTTTTTTTAAGATAGGCTTGTCATGCCAGGGATTTAGCTCAGTGCTGCTGCCTGCTTTGTAAAAGCAAGGTCCTGAGTTTGATACCTGATACCAAAAAAAATAAGGTTGGTCTTGCTGTATAGCTCAAGTTGGCCTCAAACTTGTGATCTTCCTGCCTCAGCCTCAAAATGTTGGAATTATAGACAAGTGCCACCATGCCTGATTTTGTTCATTTCTTGAAAAGTATATTTTTACTTTATTTTATTTTATTTATTTTTGGTACTGGGGATCAAACTCAGGTCCTTGCACTTGCAAAGCAGCTGCTGGAACCACTGAGCTAAATCCCCAGCCCTTATATTTTATCTTTATTATTTATTATACTTAGGTTTGAACCCATGGCCTTGCACTGAGCTACATCCCCAGCCCCTTTTTCACTTTTTCCTCCCTTTTTCACTCTTAATTTTGAGACAAGCATTTGCTAAACAAACTTGGGATCCTCCTGCCTCAGCCTCCCATAGTGCTGGGATTACAGGCATGTGCCAATTTGCCTGGCTATTTTACTTCTTAGTTGCCCTTTTAATATCTGTTTTGGAAACTAGTAAGTGTTTTGAGAGTGCATCTCACATCTTTTAACACAGGTAATCAAGATCTAAGAAAAATAGACCAGATACCTTTCAACCTTAAGTAGAATTTTTGGGGAAAATATGAAGCATCTAATTTTTAGACACTGAAGAGACGCATTGCAACATTTGCAATCTACAAAGAAGGTGAAAGAGGTAAATGAAGATAGGTGCAGTGGCACAATCGTGTAATCCCAGGTACTTGGGAGGCTGAGGCAGGAGGATCATGAGTTTGAGGCCAGCCTGGACAATTTAGCAAAATCTATCTCAAAAGTAAAACAAGGGCCAGGGATTTAGCTTAGTAGTGCTGTGCCTACGTTGCAAACAAGGTCCTGAGTTCAATTCCTTGAGCAACAACAACAAAAAAAAGTAAAAACAATGAGCTCTGTAATTAGGGAACTTATTGCCAGCCAGGCAGTTTGTAGGCCGAGCTGCAGGAGAGTGGAAACTGACAGACTGTATGTTGCTGGTTTGAGGAGAAGATAAGGTTGGACTTCAGGAAGCCAAGGCCACATTGGAGAGAGGAGGGCACTGCAAGAAAGGGAGCGTCAGAGAGCGAGCTGCAGAAAGAGCCGAAGTCTTGCTGGTCACTGTGTGCATACAGGGGAGGATCCTAACCAAGGGAGAGCCACCAGAAAGGAATGAGAAGGAACAGAGTCCTCACACAGGGCTCTGCAGTTTGCAGCAGTGACCAGAGTTTGAAGACAGCCCTGGGCTCAGGCAGAACCCTCAGGCTGCCTTAGGACCTGCTTTAACAAAAGTTAAACTCCAGTCCCGGGCTGGGCGTGGCGGTGCATGCCTGTAATCCCAGCACTCGGGAGGCTGAGGCAGGAGAATCGCTGTGAGTTCAAGACGAGCCTGGGCTACATAGTAAGTTCCAAATCAGTCTTACCTACATAGTGAGACCCTGTCTCAAAAAACAAAACAGACAACAACAACAACAACAACAACAACAACAACAAAAACACCAGTCCTGAAAGAATTCATTCCAAGTAACTTCTTACTGAAGTTACTTGAGAGAAATCCATTCCTGTTTACAGAAATGCAAAATGGAGCACTCAAAGTGAAAATAAAAATGTGCAGCATCCAGTGAAAAATTAACCAGTGTGCAGTGAAGCAGGAGAAATAACAGGTAATAGAAAAAGACTCAGAAGTGACGAGATGAGGAGACCCATGGACAAGGAGCTAAGCAGTTGGAAAGGTGTTCCACATGTGAAGAAGAGAACCAGCATAAGTGGGAAATGGAAGACAAAGCAAACTTTCTTTCTGTGAAGAAAGAGCTGTCATGCAGGGAAAGAGTGCGTGTTATGAACCGGAAGAAGCTGATCTGAAAATGCTCTGTACTATCTAATTCCAACCTCATAATTTTCTAGCAAAGACAAAGTGTGGACACAACAAAGATATTAGTAGTTAGCAAGGGTGCGGATGGGGGCATGAATAGGCAGAGCCCCAAGGATTCTAGGGAAACAAACCTTTTCTGCCTGATGCTAACACTGGTGGATACAGGTCAGTACATGTTTGGAGAACCTATACGATGCACACCACCAAAAGTGAACATAGGGGACACTGTGGGCCCTGGGTAATGATGTATGTGTCAATGCAGGACACACTTGATGTGGGGAGCTGTGTGTGTGTTGAGGGGGGGCTACATGGGAACTGTCTGCTTCTGGTTCAATTCTGCTGAGAATGCAAAACTGCTGTAAAAATAACATCTAAACTGGGTGTGGTGGTGCATATCTGTCATCCCAGCACTCTGGGAGGTGGAGGCAGGAGGATTCACAAGTTTGAACCCAGCCTGGACAATTTAGGAATTTAGCAGGATCTTGTTTTAAAATAAGAAATAATCCCTGGTACCAAAAAAAGCGGGGGGGGGGGTGGCCTGGGGCTGTAGCTCAGTGCAAAGGCCCTGCCTAGTTTCAATCTCTAGCACGCACACACAGACATACACACAAATCTGTGTTTTTTTGTTTGGTACCAGGGATTGAACTCGGGTCCCTGCACTTGCAAAGCAGGTGTTGAAACAACTGAGCTAAATCCCCAGCCCAAATCTGGGTTTTTTAAAACCATGTGTCAGAGATCCCACTTCTCCCACCCAGTATTTTTTTAATGGTAGCAGTTTTACTACTGGTAGGAAAAGAAAAAAGTTCCACAGAGTGAGTTTGGGCCAAGTAAAAGTAGGAAAAGAAGTATCCCCTATAACATGAGGGCAGACCATTATACAACGGAGAACACAGTGGCCAAAACCTCTGTGCACTGTCCTTTTTGTGTCACCCACTCCTCAGGTTGTCAGGTCTAGGCCGTCCTATTGAAAACCTGTTTGAGTTTTCACAATCAGTCCACATGCAGGTCTTTGGGAATATTCTCAGGGCTGGCTCACCAAATATGTTATTGAGTTTTAAGGTGCTGGACTCT